TGATCAGAGGCATATCTAAGAAATGGCAGGTATAGCATGTGCCCTGGGTGTTACTTTAAGGGGGGTCACCACTGAGCAGTTCCTACTCACCATCTCAATTTCCATTACTATCTGTGAAAGATCATTTAGAAAATTAAAACTGATACTGTTGTGTTTGAGAGACTCCATGGGTAAAGACAGACTGATCTTGCTCTACTGAGTGTAGAAACAGAAGGAACTGAGAAACAATGCCATTGAACATATCATAGGCCAATTTTCATCAGTGAAAAGAAGGTGTAGTTATATTTCCTGATAGTACTATAGTGTGTTAAATAAAAGACTGACAAACTTGGCTTGTATTTTAGAGCTGATATTATGGTAAAGTTATCTAGAAGATGGGTTCAGGTTTCTGGACAGAAAGCTAATTTCAATGCTTCCATAGGCATTATTTCATTAGATGTGCACTTCTGAGTATGATTACCTATTTTGTAGTACTGAGTGATTATATTAAAATAATAATGATATGATTGTACAGGTAGTCAAATCAGTGATAGTCTGTCATATAAATAAGACTATAGTTACTGGTGTGGTGTTGTGGGATAAAGCACTGTATTTCAAGGTCATTTCAACCACAAGATTGGCGGTTCTAACTCACCAGCTATTCCTCAGAAACCCCTATACAGGGTTGCTTAGAGTCTGAACCAACAACAACAATCTAGTTTGCAGATATCAGAGAAGCCCTTCTGAGGAAGTGATATTATTACCAAAAAACAAAAGTTCCTTAAAGTATAGTTGGCTAAAGAAAAATGGCTGACGTGACGTAAATGGTTAAGCCCTGAAAGGTTGGTGGTTTGAATACACCAAAGGCACCTTGGAAGTAAGACCTAATGGTCAGTCTCTGAATTGTCGCAGCCTTAAAAGTTCTATGGAGTGTAGTGCTCGCTGAATTAGATGCATCTCTATGGCAATTAATCAAAGCAGGAATAAGGGGAGAAAGGAGGTAGTATAAAAATGAGGGAAAATGTTTCAAATAAAGGAAGCTACAAGTGCAACACCCAAAGAGGAGAAAAAAAAAAGAGCGCTAGATGAATCAATTTAAAGTCTTGTGAGGCTAGAAGGAGAGCAAACCAGTGACAGCCAACATCCATGAGATGAAGCAGGAGAGGTAGGTAGATTTCAGATTTTGGAAATCTCAAAAAACCACATTAAGAGTTAGAGATTTTATTCAAAAAGCAATGGAAAAACTTATAATTAAGTAACATAACTAGAAATTGGTTAAAATACAGAGAAATTGTGAGATTGATTTTAGAGAGATTGCAGGGGGAGATCTGTAAATAGATTGTAACAATGATTAAGCAAGAGAGGACCTGGAGCCTAGGTTAGACTTATGACTGCAGAACTGAGTCCATCCAGATGATGGGTCCATCATGAAAAACAACATGAGCAAAATCACCTAACTATAGACCTGTCAGGAGTATTATACCATTGGGAATTTGAACATTGAGCAGGAAAGTTCTTAGAGCAAAGGTATGTGCTTTGAAAAATAATATTTTAATTTTCAAATTATAAAAGTAAAACGTGTTTTTTGTATAAATCACTTGTAAGCCCCAAATACTGATATATTTTGAATGTATCAGTAATCACAGTACCTTAAGATAACCAATATACAATATTAGTATATTTTTCCAAATATACATATATATGCAAGTGCACACACAAAAAATACATTGTGTACACTTTTTTAAAAAGGAGCAAAGAATGACTTGGATTTTTATGCAGTGCATGCTTTTCTTTCTCTCTCTCTCTTTTTTTTAGTTATACCACAAGCTTATTGCCACATTAGAAAATGTTATTTTAAAACAATTTCATGTTTGAATAATATACTCCTGTCTGGTGCTCTAGTGAATTCTGACTCATAGTGACCCCGTTTCCAAAGCTGCAAATATTTACATGAACCGAAAACCTCATCTTTCTCCTGCAGAGTGGCTAGTGGATTTGAACTGCTGACATTTCAGTTAGCAGTCCATCTCCTAACACACTGTGCCACCAGGGATCTTTATGCTCCACATAGGTGTACTATATTTGAATGATGTAATGGTCGACTATTAGATAATTTAATTTTTTAAATTATTCATTGCTATAAAAATACTATAACATACAGAGATAGGCACATAAGACTTATATTACAATTTACAGTAGGCTCCACTTTGATACTTACATCTAAATTAAATAGTAATGTATGAAATACGTTGTTATGTATACATTTAAATAACAAATTGATAAAAGTCTAGAAGATAGCCAATATCTGTTTCTCTCAAACAGTATGCCCAATATTTTAGTGGACTCGGTGTGGTAAGTATAGCGTATAATGATACTAGCATAAGAAAAAACTTATAATTTGCTCTTAGCTTGAGAAAAAAATCTCATTATCTTCATTAGTTGAAATTCCTCTCTTTCCATGTGAACAGTTCAACCATTCAATATTTCTTTCACATCTGTCTTCACTTGAACTAGTGCCAAAATGTCTTAGCTTGAAATTTCATTTTCATCAATTTTCATACTAAGAAAACTTGTTACAAACTACACTATTGATCATTGAAACAGCAGCCTAGAGTTTTCTTAAGTGCTGTATAGATCAAGAAAACACTCATGTATTTGCAAGCACTATCCAAGGTCAATTTATCATCATTTTTCATCATATTTTGTGTTCAAAGACTATCATTTAGTAAGGACCAGCATTGTAACCTGTGTCTGCTTCCTAAATTGCCATGTGTTCTTTAGAGTAGCTTAATAAAAAATCAGTAGTTGAGTATATAAAAACATAAGATTTTTTTTTTCAAATGGTATATGTTTCAATTTACCAAGTTTTAAATGAAATTGAAGGACACTCAAATAAAGTCACTTTTGTCAAAGCCTTTTCCTGTAATAACATTTTTGGTTAATGCAAAGTGTATCCTCTTGCGATGTCCAAGTGAGTGAAAAACCAATTTTTGTGGAATGCACAAGAACAATTTGGATTTTGTGGTTTCCTTAAATGAGATGAAAAAGAATTTCTGTTTTCTGAATAGGAAATAAAGTATGCTAGGCTTATTTTAGATGCTTCAGTGTGCCAAAGATGGTATTAAGTTTTGTGTTCATAAATTACTAATCTGGAATAAGAGGTTGATTGTATTTTGAAAACTTAAACCTGTTTCACCTGAACATGTTTAACTAGTTAATAAGAAACATCAAAAAGACAAAAACCCTGAGGTTAATGGTCATTTTTTGTAAAGCTATTATATGCTGTTTAAATTGGTTGTTCGGGTTTGTCTATAACTTAAGTTTAATAACCTAGCTCAAATGCAGATTTCTAATTTTCAATTAACATAGGAATAATTTTGTTTGCTAAAATAAAATAAATGAATGAATGAAAAGTCTGAAACATGAAATGTTCTAGGTAGAACTTTTTAAAATTCCAAATTTCAAAAAATCATGTGGCAACTGTATAGCTCAAGCTTTAAGTATTAACTTTTAACCTTTGACCTTACAGATTTTAACCAATGAAATGTCTCTTTAAACTTTAAAGGAAACAATGATAACGAGCGCCTGGCGATTGCTAGACAGCGAATTCCATATCGACTTGGTCGAGTAGTTGATGAATGGCTACTCGACAAAGGTAAAAAATATTGATTAAAACTTCAAATAAAAAAATAATTTGAACATAACCAAGTAGTACTTCATTGTAACACTAATAAACATAAAAAATAAATTTTCCGTAAAACTAAATTAAAAACAAATTTAAAACAGTAAAATGTAGATAGTAATATTTGCATACCTTGTATAATAATTTCTATACATTTTTAGAAGTACCAGCTGTTTAATAATCTTACCCTGTTAACTTAAGGTTAAAGGGACTGTTAAATATAATCCACTAACTCAATCTTTGAAGGTACTCACAGCAAGCATTAACCCAAAATGATAAATCATTCATAGATTATATTACATGGTCCAGCCTCTAAATTATTAACTAAAATATATGTAGTTCTGATATCTTTGTTATGGTCCTGAAAAAAAAAACAAAAAACAAAAAACAAAAAAAGTCTTTGTTTAAACCCTAGGCATCTTAAATAAATAGTGGGCAATATGAATTGCCAGTCAAAATGAAGTCCCTTTAACGTTTGCAACCTTCTAAGAGCATTTGGGAACAAGCCCTAATTAAAACTGAACTTAAAGTTGTGTGCATGCTTTTTATGAGCAGAGAGCAATCTGCTAAAACTGGATACTCAATTTGATGATAATGGTAGTGTTGCTGAGGATTGCTGTTTGATGGAAATGTGCCATAAATTCTCCATCGGTTTGTGTATCATTCCTGAAGCCGCTTTTTACATCTGAAGCTATTTTTTTTTTTCATTTTGTTTTGTTTTGATAAGACTTGCTGAAAGCCAATCAGATCAATATTTTTGAAGTTTTGTCTCTGACATGCTCAGTGTAAACCATGCATTTCTTTTCAGTGTGATTGTTGCTGGGGGTGAAAAAAAAATTCAAATGACAATGGACAAAGCATTTTAAAGAATAGATATTAATACACATAACCATTATCTGAATTCTGACTTTTTGCCATAAATTTAAAATTAGATTTTTGCTGCTGTAGATTAGTGTCTGCCAGTGATAATGTCAAAATGACAAATACTTGAAATATTAGACATCTCACATTTTGCTTATAATTCAGCAACCAACAACAGCATAAGCTCTTGAGGGGAAAGGGAAAAGGGATCCACTAAAAATTGATTTGTAAGATATATCTTTGATTGGTCTTTTAGCAAAAGTACTACATTTACAATAAGTTGAGAATTTACAAGTATTGCCAATAAGTATGCATTTCATGGACACCTCATTTATAAGCAATGAATTATGAGTCAAATGCCTCTCTTATAGTTTATTGCTCTCATTATCCACTCCATGAAAGATCTGTTTTATCATCCTTTGTAGAATATAGAGTTCACAATCAACATTTTTGCATGTATGTAATATTATTTTTACAGGGCGTCAGCTCACAATCTTCAATAGTCAAGCAACCATAATAATTGGCGGGAAAGAGCAGGGCCAGCCCTTCCAGGGCCAGCTCTCTGGTCTTTACTACAATGGCTTGAAAGTTCTGAATATGGCAGCCGAAAATGATGCCAACATCGCCATAGTGGGAAATGTGAGACTGGTTGGTGAAGTGCCTTCCTCTATGACAACTGAATCGACAGCCACTGCCATGCAGTCAGAAATGTCCACATCCATTATGGAAACCACCACAACCCTAGCTACTAGCACAGCCAGAAGAGGAAAGCCTCCTACAAAAGAACCCATTAGCCAGGTGAGTATGTGGATTTCATTCTTCCTTTTTGAAATGAAGATTTTTCCTCATATGTGTCTTTTCTAAACGAGGTTGTTTTTGCTTTTGATCATCAGGTATTGTCACTTTCTTTGAGACTTGCATTCAGATAGTGCATTTGGTTTGACTATGAAATATATATAATGTTGTTGATTTGAGATTTAAGGATTTTTACAGACTGCCTTGTCTTGATTTGTTAGTTGCTAGATGAAAGTCTTGATTCATAAACTTGGTTTAGCACACACTTAGGTGATTGGCTGGTGATCACACAGGAAGATGATCTTTCAGTTAATTGAACAAGTAGATTATTGAAGTTTTTAAAAGACCTTATTTGTTCAAGTTTACTTAGTGTTGTATCCAAATAAAATAAAAGCCAAATTGATCATTAAAAAGAGGATAAACTGCTGCAATAGTTCTATTATATTTTGAAGCTTTAAACATTTGAATTGGTTGGCATGTGACACTCATGGTGCATGATAGGTCTACCCTTTTACTTTTATAAGGAACAAAAACTATCAGTTTATCTGAGGACAAATTCCCTAAGTCTGGTATTTAAAAAGTGTCTTGGGATAAGATGTTTGTATGATAGATGGTTATCTCCATTCACCTAGAATGTACTTGAATGATCTTATTGTTCAATGTATGTGTAAAGATTTAAAAAATAGAATTGTTGACAGTTACAGTTATATAACTTGGAAGTATATTACTCATTTAAAATGTAATACTATGTAGTGTGTCTTAGTTTAGGTATTAAAGTTACATCTGTGAAGAATACAGTAGGAAAAAATAAATCCTCCTGTTTTGTGGGACTCACATTGTATAGAATGCTCTTAGAATCTTGACTACTCTGTTACATTCATGGCCTTTGTACAGATTCTGAGACTCCTACTTTCAGATCTGTCTATTTTCATGGATTCAAAATGGATTGCTTTGCTCTGTTTTTAATATTTGGTGAATGTCCTCCATAGGCACTATGTAGAGCCTTGCCAAATGCATGATTTTCACTTTTCTAGAAAACTGCAATCTAGAGAGGCAAGAATGTTGTTAGGTGCTTTTGAGTCATCAGTTCAGACTCCTATTGACCCTATCTATGACATAACAGAACAAAGCGCTGCCTGGTTCTCTGGTTCTGCATCATCCTCATGATTGTTGTTATTTTTGATCCCATGGTTGCAGCCTCTGTGTCAATCCACAGTGTTAAGGGTCTTCCTCTTTTCACAACCCTTATTTTTACTTGCATGAATTTAACATTTTTGTTTTATTTGTTGTTGTACTTAGCAGAACACCCACCAGGTTAACAATTTCTCCATGTGCAGTTCTGTGATATTGATTACATTTTAAAAGGTCTGCAATCATTTTCAAACTCCTTTCGATAATTTTTACCTTCTCGGTTAACATAAACTCACTATCCCCTAAATTGATTACCTGATCTTTTGAGTTGCTGTTTTCAATTTTATCTCATATAGACAGAGACAAATCAGCTCTTAACGGAGAACAATACTCAAGGCAGATATTTACTAAGTTAGCTAAACTGTTATTTGGTTTAAAAAAGAATTCAGGAGATACTTTTGGGTTAAGATCTAAGAACCTGAGGGCTTTATTTATGTATTAATTTAGCCTACATGAAACTACAAAGTCTGAATTCTGTGAGATTTAAAATTTTTGTTCTGTGTTTCCTATTCTTTGTCAGGATTCTTCTGAAGAATCTCTTGATCAAATATTTAGAAAGGGTAACTGGGCAACAGTTATTTTTAAAATTGTTAATATTTGAAGTGTTGGAAAGTTAAATTTGGGGAGAGTGTAATAGAAGGCAAATTCTGTTTGTAACAACACACTGTTTAATAATCAGCATATGCTTCCCAAATTGGAAAAAAGAAAAAAAAAAAAAGAATTCTGATTTTTACTTTGTGTATGTCCAGAGAAGGGATATGACTGAGAAATTGTAAATTTATATGTGCCAGTCACTGTCCATGGCACTGAAGATATGTTAGTAACAACTACAAAAACTCTTACCCTAAAGGAACTTAACAACTTAGACATTTATAAATTTGGACATACTTATGCATGCCTATCAGCTCCATCCAATTGTGGTGCTGTGGGTTAATGCATCAGATTGCAAAGTCGGTTTGAAGTGCAAGGTCAGCTGCCCAAGCTCACCAGCAGCTCCTCAGAAACCCTATACAGGGTTGCTATGGACCAGAAACGACTCGACGGTACTTAACCGCAGCAACAACAATACTTCATTGGAGTCCTGGTGTGGTGCTGTAGGATAAGCACTGGACTGCTCACCACAAGGATGGTGGCTGAAACCTACCAGCAGCTCCTTGAGAAACTTATACAGGGTCACTATGCATTGAAACAGACTTGTTGTTAAGTGCTGTTGAGTCGAAACCGACCCATAGCAACCTTGTATGGGGTTTCCAAGAAGCAGTTGGTGAGCTTGAACAACCAACCTTGCAGTTCAAATGACTTTGCAGTCTGACGCATTAGCTCACAGAGCCATACCAGGATGGCACTTAAGAACAATATTTTATTAATGCTTTGTTATTATTATTGTTGATTAATGGTGGCTTAGTTAAAGAACCATGGTAGTGTAGTAGGTTACGTGTTGATAATCACAAGGTCAACAGTTTAAATCACTCCACAAGAGACAGATGAGGCTTTCTGCTCTTGTAAAAATGTGCAGCCTCAGAAACCTATCCAGGGTCACTATGAGTTGGAACTGCTCACAGACACACAGTAGCAGCAGCAGTTACCAAGCAAATTGTTAAGCTAAATATGATACAGAGACAAAAGGAACATAAAAGAACTGAAAGACTATTTTCTTTATATAAAATCATTCATAAGAGAACAATTCTCCAAAACTGTCAGAGTTAGAAATGTTTCTGTGATTAAAATTTGAAGTGATCAGATATTTTCCTTTATCTTTATTTTATCACTAATGTTTGAAACAAAATTACAGTTTCTTAACTTTCTACATAAATGAGACATATAAAAGTAGGGAAAGAATTATCAGGATTGTTTTTAGTGTATTCAATCTACTGGGAACTACTATATATTGAGAAAGTGTGCTTTAGAACAAAACAAAAACTTGAGTAAAATAACCGTTGCATTTGAAAACTAAACACTAAGAAATGTAGAAATAAAAAAAAATATAGTCATTATATGATATTAATTAATATAAAGTAAAACAGTTAAGTGATCATTATTGGCCAATGGAAAACAATATCTTTTATTGCACATGTTAAAAGACAGCAGTGGTTTATAGAAATAAATGGTTTCATCAATTACAGATTACTTGGTTCATTTAAGGAGGTATTGACTATAATAAAAGATTACTAGGTTCATTAAAAAATAGACATTTAAATCTTTAAATTTTAACAGACCAACTACAGCAATTAAATATTTTAGATTAATATATTACCTTTTCAAATACTCAATTGTTGCAACAGTATTTTAAAGTTGAATTAACTGTTTTAAAAAATCATCTTATAGTATGTATGTTACTCTAAGAAATAATGTCTATATGTATAGGGGGGAATCAGGGAAGGAGGCATATTATTTATTTTTTAAAATTGGAAAATGTGTTTGCAAGTTATCTTCACCTTAAAATCAATTTTATATTGTCTTTCAACTACAAAGAGATTACTGATCTATGTATAATTTAAAGTGATTTTGTTGTTTTTGTTATTCTGGCAGTCTTTGGTTCAAAATTTGAATATGAGGTAGATTTATAATGCTAATTCCAGGACTGTACCTTTGACCTATTTGTGAGGTTGGCTAAAGCCTCTGCCTTTAAACCCAGTCAGTAGTGGCCATGTCTGCCTGTTTTAATCCACGGCCTTACCAAATTATGTACCAGGAAAGAGTCATTTTATTTTTCAAAAGCCTTTCTGAACTGTTTTCTCAGTCCTAGTGTATTTTCCTCAGTGATAACACTGAGCCACTTAAGCTGCAATGGCAATGTACCTTGAGGTGATTGCATGTTTTAGAACTATGGAAACAGATTTTTGGTCAAGCAGAATTAAATTGGATTCATTTCAAATAGATGAGATGAGCTTTGTACAGCCATCCTGCAGGGCAAGTAGTAGGGGAGAAATGTATTTCAGTTTTTTATAGAGTCTGATAATTCAAAAGAGTATTCATCAAAATGTTCTCCCATAAGACACTGTTTACAATCCTATTTAAAAGTAAATATACCCTAAACGGAAAAAAAAAAAAAAAACAAAGGAAGGTTTTTCTACTCTGAGTGATGGACAGTGTTCAGATGGATGCTTACTTTGGAAAGACATGGTTTATATAGCATGAAATAATGAGGATGTCCTCCTACACTTCTGAGTAAATGGCAATTTTCTTCTGAATATCAAAATATTGAACTTCTTGTCATGTGTATTATATAAAGTTTGTTTGGCTTAGAATATTTAATTTCTAAATGTTTTCACATGACCTGCTTCTTTTCAAAAGAGAATTTTCTATAAGTTTAATTTCAGAAAATTATTTATTTCATGAGTTATCAATTAATTATTTGCAATTAACTGATAACACAAGGTTCTATAGGATGCTAAGAGCTTCTTAGGGTTGGGGATGCTTTACAAGGTTTTGACTGCTGCTACATGTTCCCTCCTCTTCTGAATCATCTGACAAAGTCATAGTTTTATAAGTCATTTTATGTAACTGAATAAAGGTAAGGCAGTGTGCACTTCTTTTGGTTGCCTGTTTGTAAGGAAGAAAAGTACACCTGTGCTAGGTTCAGCATTGTCACATTACTTTTAGACTGTTCTTTGCTGCATGTCTGTGATTTTCAGAGTCATCTTTTAAGAATATTGTTACAGTTATGTATGTATTGTAGAGAATATGGATCCATAAGAATGCTTTTTTTAGGAGGAGCATTATAGCATAGTGGTTATGAATCGGGCTGCTAACCTCAAGGTCGGCAGTTCAAAACTACCAGCCGTTCCACTGGAGAAAGATGAGGCTTTCTG